CTACCTGAAAAACTAAAAAGCAATTTATTTAATTCGAAGGCCTGTCGTTATTTTTTATTTGTGCTATCATTATTAATTTCTTTATTTGTTCTTATTTTATTACTGACTGCTTACATGTCATTTTTTATTCAATTCAGAGTTTGAAATCAGGCTATCTCGTGCTACTGCACCAAAATTACCCCACTGTAAAATTAAAAAAACACTGAGTGAGCAAAAATTTGTGAGATAGCTAGTTATAATGGTAATTAAATAATGTTTACATATGTATAAAAGCCTACATTAAAATCTGTCATATAAATTGGTCTCTTCATTAGAAATTAGCCTACTGATTGCCACCATTGATGGACAAATTTTTTTTATAATATTAAAAATATCCGTATGACATTATACTCTGCAGTTCTTCCCTGCTGTACCGAATATCTATACTTTTCAAATTATCATATCGAAGTTAGAAATTCAAATATTGTGACAAAATTAATTTTGTAGGGTGCCACAAGTTTGTTAAAATTTCCAAAGGGTGCTGCGACTAAAAAAAGGTTGGGAAACACTGATATAGAGAACCCTTCTCACACTAAAGTACAGACATGTTTTCTTGAAAAGACATGAAGGACTGAATATGAGGGTGCTGTCACACTTGGTCCGAACCCGAGTTAGATTGCCCTAAGAGCTTTTATTAAATAACAAAACAAAAACTACCCTAACAAGGGAATACTCCGGAAAGGCAAGACAAGACAGGAGACGACACAACTAGAAACCAACAGGACCTCAGGAACATTAGCCCCGACACTAAACTGAAACTAAACTAGACAGGAGTGCTGGGATCTGAACACCACACTGCGCAAACACAATCAATCACATGCTGTGGGAGGGACCAGGGAGGATCCGGTGCATCGGGAGTCCTAGTGGACAGCCAGGGCAGGGCCGGAGGGACAGACCAGGGAGGCTGCGGTGGGTCAGGAACCCCAGTGTAGTGCCAAGGGTGGTGCCAGAGGGAAAGACCTGGATGACTCTTGCAGATCAGGAATACCAGCACATGGCCAGAGCGAAGCCAGAGGAGGGCAGGACCTGGACCATGGAGGCTCCAGGGCTGGAACAGATTCTAGGACTGCCTCCATGGCCAAGACAGGGAGAGAAGGCTGCAAAATAAACCAAAAAACTACTCCTAAAGGGGAAATACTCCAGCAAGGCAAGACAAGACATGACACAACTGGGAGCAAACAAGACTTCAGGAACAGTAATCAGAACCCTGAAACTAAACCAAAACTAAACTAGACAGGAGTGCTGTGGTCCGAACACCACACTCCACACACACAACATAGCACATGGACCTAGAGCACACAGCCCAAGCACACTGGAGCCCTGGCGGATGGCTAAGGTGGTATTGTGGGAGGGACCAGGGAGAATCCAGTGGGTTGGGAGTCCTGCTGGACGGCCAGGTCGGAGCCGGAGTGACTGACCAGGGAGGCTGCAATGGGTATGGAACCCCAGTGGAGTGCTAGGGTGGTGCCGGTGGGACTGACCAGGATGGCTTCAGCAGATCAGGAACCCTCACCAATGGCCAGGGCAAAGCCAGAGGAGGGCAGAACCTGAATTTCAAGCCTGGAACAGATTCTGGGACTGCCTTGGTGGCCGAGACAGGCAGAGTGGGCTGCAAAATAAAACACAAACCACTCTATAAGGGGAAATACTCTGGCAAGGCCAGGCAGGATATGGCAGGACAGGACACGACACAACTGGGAACCAACAGGACCTCGGGAATATTAGTCCAAACCCCGAGACTAAACTGAAACTAAACTAGGCAGGAGTTCTGGGGTCCGAACACCATGCTCTGAACACACAACATATCACATAGACCGGAGTTCACACATCTCTGCCCCCACACAAACACATTCGTGATCTTTCTTCATTACAGGATTTCAAAACCCACCTTAAAACATATCTTTTCCTTTCATGTTTCTCTGACTGCATGATCTGATTCATGCCATTGATTTCATGTTTATCTGTAATTTTTTTTTTTTTTTGTCTGCTGTCATGTTTATCTGTTTTGAGATTGTAAAGCGACCTTGAGTTTGCAGAAAGGCGCTATATAAAATAAACGTATTATTATTATTATTATTATTATCTCAAACACACTGGTGAATGGCTAAGTTGGTGTTGGTGGGAGGGACCAGGGAGGATCCAGCGGGTCGGGAGACCTAGTAGATTGCCAGAGTGGAGCTGGAGCGACAGACCAGGGAGGCTCCAGTGGGTCAGGAACCCCAGCGGAGTGCCAGGATGACCAGAATGGCGCCAGCAGATCAGGAACCCCAGCAGATAGCCAGGGCGAAGACGGAGGAGGGCAGAACCTGAACTCCAGCGCTGGAACGGATTCTGGGACTGCCTCCGTGGCCGAAACAGAGAGAGTGGGCTGCAAAATAAAACAAAAACTACCCCATAGGGTAGGGCTGTGCAATTAATCGCATGCCATTGTCATGCACATCTAGTCAGTAAAGCCAGTTCCATGATTAGTAGTAAATCGCCATCACCTGCTTTCAGATGGAGCGGCATTTACTACACTGAGCTGTAGTTCACTGACAATTAGGCAATATCGCATTCATAATCACAGATGAATCGCATTCGACTATGAGCGCGATATTGCCTAGCTTGTCAGTGAACTACGGCTCTGTTTATTAAATGCCGCTCCATCTGAAAGCAGGTGATGTCGATTTACTACCAATCACGGAACCGGCTTTACTGACGAGATGCGCCTGACAATCGCATGCGATTAATTGCACCGCCCTACCATAGGGTACTACCCCCACCCAACAATGGACATTTGCATGTCTCCACGCTCTGCCACCCCAGATTTGATGCAGGCCTCTGTGTCTACTGGCACTCTGAGTTTGAGGATGTCATTGGCCCACCAATTTCAAGAGCTATCAAGTCCCACCAATTTCAGAGCTATCTCAGTTGTCATATAAAGAAATGTGTGCTTCAAAGAAGACAAAAATACAAGCATACAAAGCTCCTACTGACTAGGGGCACAGCATCTGGATGGGATGTGTTTAGAGTCTCTTGTCCAGTCATGGCATTTTATAAAACCAGTAAGCTACTCAAGGCACTGAGGAATTTTACTGTAGTTAGGAGGGTTCATATTGTGCTTAACCTCCGTACGTGTTAACTTCACTGTAATACTGCGTTACCACACCTTGGCTAATTTGTAGAACCTCACAATCCACTTCTTATTTGATATATGTGCAGACTGACCTTGTCTGTAGATCTGTTTTTCCTTTGTTGGCATTATATTGAGATAAACACGTGTTCTTAAAACGTTCTGTTTCTTTTTGTTCGCACTTCAAAGAAGGGCTCTGTCAGAGTGAATTAACCATGAAAGGCAGACAGTGGGGAAGGGTGTTATCTCAGCGTCTGGCCTCCAGCACGGAGCACAACAGCTCATCAACGCTGTGCATGCCACTCTTAAGTGCACTGTGAACCAGTTTTACCAATATCTGTTGAGAACATGAGGCTCTCTGGGTGAATTTAAATGGATTTTTGCACTCTTGAAGGGCGCTGCTGGAATGCACTCTATTCATAGGGACCTTCTGAACAAAAGTGAAAAGAGCAACTTCAACAAGGTGATGTATATAAAAGATGTGATTTTGTCATTTATGATCAAGGTGGTGAATTCCAAGAGGAACTCACTTTTACTTGGGATTACAAAACCCTCAAATTGCTCTTGTGTACTATTTGTTTAACGAATATCATAACTATATATATATATAGTTGGTTGAAAACTACATCGCTACATGGTTTTCTAATGGTTTTAAACATTACATTTATAATTACAATAATTATAATAATATTTAAAGTAATTAATCAGTTAAAATAAGTGTTTGGAAGCAATTTTTGTACATTTTGTATCAAACTTGATATCCATTATTTTCATTGGTATTGGTGTTCTGAATACTGAGATTGGTATTGTGTCAGCACTACTAGCCATGATTCTGTGTGTCAGAAAATCAGTATCATTAAACATAAATTACTTTAAATTACATTCTTTATGAGTTAATGGACACTGCATCCATTAGTCCTGACGAGCATAACCTTAAAGAGTGTGTAGGAGTATACCTACATTTACATTTCTACATTACATTAATAAAGTAACGCAGACGCTTTTATTCAAAGTGACTTACAATAGAGCTGTCAGAGTTGGTCTGCAACATACATGTCACATAAGTCTCAAATAGTTCTTGTGCTTTGTGCACAATATTTTGCCAACCAACCTTTATAAGGTTCCTCCTTATAAAGACATATTTTTGTCTTACTTCAAACTGTACATTTATCTGTTCAGTTGTCTGTTTCTTATTATAAAATGTACTTTTAACATATACAACAGTTGTTTTTAGTTTTAGTGTTTTAATTTTTTTAGACACGACTGGCTTATGGATATCAGCCATAAATATCGGCGTATCCCTACTTTATGTAATCATTTAATTTCACTATATATTCCAAAGCATTGTCTGCGGTACCCAGTGTCCGTCTCTAGGGCGATACCCTGAGTAGGGCGTAATGATGCTCAGTTTACTATGGAATTGACTCCCTCTCTCTGTTTCTCTCAGAGCTGACTCTACAGCAGGCTTTGCACCAGTCTGTATTCATGCCGTGTTCCAGCCCATCTCCCAGCATGCCTCACTGCTGGGATCAGCACAGCAAACTGCTTCCAACAGTGGCAGGCATCACAGCCAGTAAAGTGGCAGCGTGGAACGTGGATGAGGTACACAGAGCTCCCGTGTGAATCTGCATATCCCACGTGCTATTCAAATTCAAGACAGAATTAATGCGAGGTTTTATTAGATCAGTTGATTAGTTTTGGACTCAGTTAACTTCAGCTGCTGTCCCTCCTCTAATCCTCTTTGTTATTCTGTAGGTGATTGAATTTATTCAAGGACTTCCAGGCTGCAAGGAGCAAGTGCGCACCTTCAGAGAGGAGGTAAAGTATTCCTTTAAATCACGAGTGGAATCAGAGCGACTGAATCCTCTGGGAAATATTTAACTAGTCCTCCATCATCAGGTTTGGCAGCCGGAGTAACTGAAGCATTTTAGGAACAGAATATAATGCATAAGGAAGAGAGCATGGGGCATGATGGGATATGTGAGGAGAACGCATTGAAACCATTTATAGGCATTTCAAGTCATCCCACGTCACAGCATCATGCCTGTTTACCGCTAACAAGAATGTTAAAAAGGCCAGAGGGCTGCTGCTTTAAATAATTCTGCTCTCTGAGCTGCTGTCTGTCTGCTCTTATTTTCCATCTCTCTCCCCTCATGTTCACTTCTGTGTCTTGTCCTGTGTTTTCTAATTATATGTGCAAATGGGAGCTGCATTAATGAGTCCTGTCATACAATGGGGTGTAAAAGTCTCAGAGCACTGGTGAAAATTCATCTACTTTGTGTTCTTTTAAAAGAGTTTGTTTTATAATATAAAATGCCGATACTTATTAAAACAGCACTGGGATGTTTCACATATCTGAGTTTTGCTTATGAAATTTAGGCAAAATAACTGGTAATATTGTGTTTAAAATGTCACTTAACATTAACTTCATGTTTGTCAGGGTTTCCGCGGGTCCTTAAGTCTTAAATTTAGTTGTATCAGATTTAAAGCCATAAAAAGTCTTAAATGGTACAAGAAAGTCTTAATTAGGATTTCAAGAGGTTTTAAATTTGGGGACCGATTAAACTTCAAAAGGCAATGATTTCATTAAATAAACAGGAGCGCTGCTGCTGTGCTGCTTTGTGTACAGTACTGTTTCCGGGAAAACTGCCACTCCAAAAGCTCCTCCTGCTGGCAGAGAATGAATGTGCATTTTCAATCAGCCCTTCTGTTTTTGTTCAGACCAAAGTGAAAATCGACCCATATTTTTACGCAGCAAACACTCAGAATTGTAAATGTGAACAGGTGGATCGACAAGAAGCTAATGCTAATGCACTTTAAAAATCTAAACAACACATTAAGATATATTTATATGTTATTAAATTAATAAAATAATTGACTGGTAATAGTTGTTTAAATTAATGTAATAATTGATCATTTTGACTCGTTCCTTTTCTTAAAAATGGTTTAAAGGCTGAAATGTGGAGTTCATCATTTTACAAAACTTTTTGCTTGTGTGAAAACCTGTAACAGAACTGTAAATCATGGTTTTTAGACATTACCCTACCCCCACTTACATGCTATTAATTTTATTTGTGCAGGTCTTAAAAAGGTCTCAAAAAGTCTTAAATTAGATTTTTAAAATCCTGCAGATATTGAACTGTTGGTTAAAATCACTGTCACAATATTTGCATGAGTTTAATTACCTGCAGCCAATCCATTCCACACACACACACACACACACACACACACACACACACACACACACACAACTGATTGTGAAAATGTTTTAATGGCATACAACCGTTACCATTTAAAATATATATAATTAGCATAACAGTTTGAGTTTAAAATTGAATTGAAAATCTCACATGCATTTCTGAATGTCTTGGTATTTGTTATGTGCCCTTTTTTAATCAATGGCAGCAGCACTCAAAATGACATGGACATTTAATTTGTGAAATAGAAATTTGCAGAATCTTTAATTTTCTCTTCATTTTATGGCATAACCATTATTTGATTTCAGACTGTAAAATTTCTAACATCTTGTTTATTTCCAGGCTTTAGACTTGTGCTCTTAGACTTTTGAACCCCATGAACATTAATCTGAAAAGATCTTATAAGATGACAGCAGCTTTGGATTTACTGAGATTGCACTTGTCTCACATAATCACCCATTCCATTCAGTCATTGTGCTGTGATCTCATTAGATTTATTGCAGTGGTCTATCTCGTGATATGTTTGCTCCTCTCAACTGAACCTTTAAGTTGAAACCAATGCTTTTATCCTTTATTTGAAACACCATGTCTTTGTTGAAAGTGACCAACATCACATCGTGACACAGCAGCTGGATGTTGTCTACACTGGATGTGTCAAAGCTGCACGTCATGTCAGAATATGTACGCTGGAAAATATCCTGCCTTATTACACGGCTCTGTGGAATACTTGATTCTGATTGGTCAGTCGCGACATTCCGAGGTCTGTTATCCATCGATAACAACCGGTAAAAGCTGATAACACAGGCTCATCCGGGTAACTGAAGTCGGCGCTATACTCTTGATAGGAACAGTTTTTCTTGGTGGAAGCTTTGCATTTGGTTAGCTAATTAAATATTAAAACTCGATTCAATATTATATGTACAATTATTTAATGTCATTCTGGTATCTCTGACTCGCTTTCTCGTTTCATACAAACGCAGCTGCTGCCATTTTGCAATGATTGTTTTGTACACTGTAATGGATTATAAGATAACTAACAAACTAAATCAATATCTTTTATCGCCTTAATTGTAAATGTCCGTCTAGTTTGAACTTGCCGCTTGCTAGCAACTGCTTTCTTCACTGAGGCTTTGCGTACAAATATTTCAACTCAAATTTTCAACTTAAACTTTTGTGTCTAATTATTTATTAATGTAGCAAGTAGATGTTTAATAAGCGGGATAATGTACAGTACATCTAGCCGGTTGTTATCGCAGAATAACCCCCTTCAGTGTGAGACAAGTGCTGATCGCCCTGGCGGGGGTTACGTAACGGATAATGTACATCCAGCCGGTTGTTATAGCAGAATAAACCCCGACAGGATGTTTGCGGAGGGGTCAGACAGTCAACGATAGCGGAGTGACTCGTTAAGTATATAAGTAGTACCGGTCAAGATAACTCGTAGTACCCGGATGAGCGGTGTGTTATTCAATTTGGCGGTTGTTATCTGGGAATAACATACTGCTGGATGGCGCAATTGACCAATCAGAATCAAGTATTCCACAGAGCCGTGTAATAATCTGTGATAACAACCGGCTGGATGTACATTATCCCTTGCTGAAATCATAGTAAATTTTTTAGTGGCAATCCAGTGGTGTAAAAATGGTGCAACGAGGCACTTCCAGAGTAAACAGATCTGCTTATTATAATGGGAGGATGTGGTTTGTCATTGCAAGGAACAGATGCAATGTGTTACTAATTATAGGCTAAAACAAGAGTCCTACTGTTTGCGTAGTTTCAACGTCATCGGCACCTGGAGTACATCTCCACATCATCTCACACACTTCACTTTCACACAGGATAGTGCTGGCAGTTTAACAGTACAGTACATCCCATGCAATGGCAGATATGTGTGAACTGCTAGAGATTCTGCAATGCCGTTGATACCGCGGTACATGTATCTGCATGGCCATAGAGTGCTGCTGCTGCTTCACCATGGGTTCCCTCAAGATCTTCCAATGGGTTTTTATAATGGGTATTTGTGGTAAATATAAATGAATGATACATTGACGTTTCACTCTACAACATCAATTATACACACCCATACTGAAACACACATTTTGATTTTGAAGCAGTTATATTTATTTTTAAAAACATGTTTATAATAAGTAACTGGGCCTACATACGAACGTTTGGGGGTTGAGTTTTTGTCATTTACGTTGACATCAAAACATCCTAAAATGTTTACCACAGACCTCATTTTACTTATAAATTAGAAAAACCCCTTAATAAAAACCCAGAGGAAAATCTTGAGGGAACCTGTGGTGAAATATTATATTACATATTATATTTTAGATTACCTTTGCTGCCATTTCACTTAAAGTTCATCTTTAAAAACACTAATAACTTAAATAATTCTTAAATATAAACTTGACTACATTTCAAAATAAGTATAAATTTGGCATTCTGCAAATGATTATATGGTGCCTGAATTGTAGCATTTAAACACTTTTTTGATGTTTTCATTTTAATTTATTTACACAAATGATCATTTTAATATTGTCCAATTATTGTTTATCAGCCATAACATATAAAATAATTATCAACTTGTTTTTATCAGCCAGAATTTTAATATTGGTGCATCCCTAATCATCTGATCTTTTGGATTGTGTCTGTCAAGACCTAAATATGAAGAAAAAATAATCAGATGAAGCACCTTTCATTTATGCAGTATGCTTGAATTATACAAATCAACATTGACATTATTATTATTTTAAATACAAAACATTTTCCATTGAATTTCCAGTAAAAATAACTACACAGTGATGTATAATCACTAAATTTCATACAATACCAAATGTCTGTTTGCGAACAGAAATTAGATATTTGTTCTATTGCATGAATTTCAGCAAACATTAGTTTAGGACATTTTGTTGTAGAGCAAAACACCTTGAAATTACACTGAATTAAAGAATTGCACGGGCTATGCATCTTCTTCACTGACATACAGCTGTGTATGTTTATCAGCTAATTTATTGTTGTTTGGTTTCAGCAAATTGATGGCGAGGCCTTCCTGTTATTGACTCAGGTGGACCTGGTGAAGATCCTCAGCATTAAACTAGGGCCGGCTCTAAAGATATATAACTCTATTCTAATGTTTAAAACAACAGAGAACTCTGCCTGCAACGAACTCTGACCAGACAGACCGACAGAGTTCAGAACTGCTTCAGTCAAAGGGCTCGTATGAAGATTCATACAGTACACACCACACTATTATACATGATCAACACGATGTAGTTTATGTCCGAATGAGCAGGTTAAACACACATAATGACATTCAGAATTAATTCAGACAGCACAAGAACGTTTCTGCACTGTCATTAATAATCATATTTGTACGCACTTATTAACTCACATGATGATTTCAGGTAGTGCTCTTTCATTATAGTGTTGTCGGTGAGAATGTATATTTACTGAGGGGTTATCGGAGAATTAGCGCTTTTCTAAATTCAGGTGCTAATTGAATTCAGCTACATGCACTGAAGAGCCGCACAATGTCTGCTTATGACTCATTGTTTCTGTTAAAACTCTCCTTTAATTCATAGCTGTAGATAATTTTAGTGTTTTGAAAGAGTTCTGGATGGAGGACTAGCAGAAGGGGGTTGATTATCAGAGCATTAGATGAACACATGGATCCTCTTTGATTTTCTTGTTTCCAGTGTGCTGTGACGTCATATTAATGCATCATGCCACAGTTCTTTATTACGGTTACAGTCATGGAATTTCTTTTTTTTCTTTCTTTATCTATTTTGATACAATGGATGTAGAAATGGAGAATGGAGGGTAAAGCTACACTCAAGGCACAAATAATAATTGTGAGCCATATTTGGTATTTTGTAATAGAATGTAACTTAATACTCAGAATGCCTTCATGTGCACAGTGCATGAAAAAAAAAAGTGTAATGTACAAACGTATTAATTTTATTTCAGTTGCTGAGGTATGCAGCATTAAAATACATGAAATCTCACATCTATTTATTTAAGTTTAATACTTTGACTATATATATATATATAAAAAAGTGCTGAACATATGTCATTGTGGATATGTATGTTAACAAACCAAAACTGTTTGTGATGCTGTTTTTACTCACTTTTTAAAATGAGTAAACTCACGGTGCTTAGCTGTATGATTTCCCATATTCAGAACTCATTTATCATGTCAGTTTTTTTTTCATGCCATGAGAGCGTGTAATGAACAGTTCGTTTGGGGATTTAAAATTGAAATATAAAATGTGTAAATAAGCAATGGTTTAGTGTGGAAGTGCAGAACTGTTGGATGGACTACTAAACTTCACTGTAATTCATTTGAAAATAAACTTGATGATCGAAAGGTCTTGTCAACACAATGGTCTTTTTAATGATTGCATGGCATGATTAATATAATGTGCCATTTATTTTATTACTAGTTTATTTATTTGATAACATTTGCATATGATACTGCATTATACCTCTTTAATTGATTTCTTGACACCTGTTTCAAATTAGCAGATGTTTTAAACATCAGCTGTGTTCAGAATAACATTCTACCTATACTTACAGTGCAGTTTGTGCTTATACTGTATACATGGAATACCTTGATGGGTTTCGGCAAATCTACTACATTTGCCTTGTGCACCATTTAACAGAGCGCACTGTGGAATAAGGTATCCCACAGTGCAATGCACCTGATTTTGCATTTCCAGTGTGATGAACAAACAAGAAGGTCATATCAGCAGTAGTGTTCTCCTAAACTCATGATTTAATTGGACTGCATACACTACACAAAATTGGCTAAAAATACAAAAGCCTAAAAATCAGGTACTGGTAGAATTGATAACATAGTGAGAAGAATTACCATTACTGCCACAAATGTTTAAGAACAAATGTTTACTATATAATAGTAAAATACATAGGTGCCTTCAGTAATGATGTTTCTTCTCACCTTGTAAATGCATTCAATTTATGATATTTTTTATAACAAGAAGTTAATTAAACCGTCTCTCTCCATGTTTAATGTAATTGGATGTTTGCTGCACGTGTTCCAGAGTTAATCATAAACTTTTAGATCATACAATTACTAAAGTTAATTTGTGAGCATGTGAGCCCACTGATCTCATTATAGACCGGATTGGATTTGTTTGGTTTTGTCAACACTAAACCTACCCTGAAACTCCGAGTTTATTCAACTTGCTTCATGCAACAGGACACAGGCAAAAGCTCTAAACAAAATAGCTGCATACTGAAGAAAGGAAGATCTCATTTTTTGATGCATAGGTGCAAAATGGCATTCAGTGTAACATTGCAAGAACCTACTGCTTGCACCATACTCACTCTTATGTCTACAGTTACCAATGACTTATATTGTGTTGAGCCCTGGAGATGTTGACAAAAGTGTTGGAACATGAGTAATGACATTCTCTAGGGATTAATCTATTAACAGACCTCTACTGGTGATAGGGCAAGTCTGAACATGACTGTTGTTGAAAGGAAGCTTTATATTTGTCATGCGTACATCCCTTGCTTTAACCTTATTTATCAATGCTTATTATCCATTTCACACAGATTCATGTCACCCCTTCCCCCGTTATCTACAGTCTCGAAGATAAATTCCTGCTCTTGTAATCTTACAGTCTTGGTTTTAAGGTAAATATATTTGCTTTTAACACTCTGACCATATGAATGTTGTACATTCATTCATGCTTTGATCATCAGGGCTTGTGTTGGATTGTCAAGAATTGTACTATAATTACACCTACAAATGCAACCCATTCTATACACTACACAAACATGAACAGAGGCAGACATGTAGCTGTTTATGAGAAATGTTTTAAGATTAAGATTCACAATTTACAGACAATGTCAGAACTATTTATGTGTACATGCTATTTGCTTATTTTAAATTAGTGTCAGTTTAAGTGCTGGTGATGTAAATAATTGGGTGGAAGGGACTGCATCCGAGGTCTCTCAAGCCCCATTTACACTGCCAATGTCTCACAGCAACATGAATCCATCTCATTCATCTTCACACAACATACACTAAACAAACCAGCAAAATGTTAGACTGAATTATATATTCAGATACTCAAAGGAGTGACTGCTGAGTGGAACAATAGTGTTTGAAAAACTCAACCTTCACAGTGCTTATAATCTTGTCAGAATGCAGAAGGGAGATGAATTGAACACCACCTTAGTAACACCTACAGGCCACTGTGAGTATCAGGTCATGCCATATGGGCTAGTCAACACTCCCTCCATATCCCATGGGTTAATGAACAAGGTTTTCTGAGACTTGTCTTTGTTCTAAGCAATACTGATATCCTCATTTTCTCCCGCAACCTGACGGAACACAATCAGCATGTGACCCTGGTACTTTAGAAAAGTTAAAACCTTGTCTTTTCCTCAAAGTGTCCTTTCCACCCACCTCCTGTGTAATTCCTGAGCTACAACATCAGACATGGTGTAGATGGACTCATGGACTCGGGTACAAATAGTTCAGTCCTGGTCACTTCTTTCCACTGTCATAGTACATACAATTTTCCTGGGGTTTGCCAGTTTCTACCAAAGATTCATCTATAAGACACCGTGATCACAGCTTCATTCAACTCTCTCCTTAGTTCTAAGCCCAAGTCTCTGTCCTGGAAGCCCAAAGCCTCCTATGCCTTCCTTATCCCGACTTACCTTTGGTTGAAGTAGATGCCTCCTCTACATACGTACAAGCTGTGTTATCTCAACGACAGGGAGATCCAGCAAAACTCCATCCATTTGCTGCCTTCTCATGGAAACTCACCTCGGTAAAGCAAAATTATGACAACCAAGGGCCAGTTTTACAACAGCTTGTGCCAGTGCAAACCATCTTTTGGCATTAAAATAGTACTGTCAGGATTTACTAAAGACGCACAGTGAAGAATTAGCACTGAAAAGGCATGGACACAGTTATTTTTGCGCCTGACCTTACTGAATATGCATTTGTAGGAGTTTCCCTTCCAGACGCAAGAGGAGAGTATTAAATTTCCACTCCCATTAGCGCTTTTTTGGGAAAAAAAGTAAGTTAAACAACCTCCAATACCTCCAAGAGGATAGACGGCTGAACCCTCACCAGGCCCCATGGGCCTTGTTCTTTACAAAGTTCAACTTGACAGTCACCTGTCTATCATCTACGTCAGTGGTTCCCCAATCTGATCCTGGAGTACCCCCAAAAGTACTATTTTAGGTCTTGAAGTCCCTACTAATGAGCTGATAAGTTGAGTCAGGTGTGTTTCATTATGGAGACATATGAAATATGCAGTTGGGGGAGTTGGAGGAACTCCAGAACCTGGATTTGGAACCACTGGTCAAGGGCAGTGGTTCTCAACTCCAGTCTTGGGGACCCACTGCTCTGCATAATTTGTTTGTCTTTCTTATCTGGCATACTCAGTTTAGTTCATGGAGCTCTCTCCTAACGAGTTGATGATCTGAACCTGGTGTGTAAAATAAGGGAGACAGCCACCAACCAACAACATGTATGTTAGACCCTATTCCATCTAAGCTACTAAAAGAGGTGCTTCCAGAAGTCATGGATCCTCTTTTGAATATTATTAATTTGTCAATGTCATTAGGATATGTTCCAAAGTCCTTCAAACTGGCTGCCTCTCATTAAAAAAAACACAACTTGATCCTAGAGAATGTTAATTACAGACAGATCTCAAATCTCCCTTTTCTGTCAAAAATACTAGAAAAGGCAGTATCCTCTCAGTTACGTTCCTTCTTAGAGAGAAATGGTATCTGTGAGGATTTCCAGTCAGGATTTAGACCGTATCATAGTACTGAGACTGCTCTCATCAGAGTTACAAATGACCTGCTCTTATCATCTGATCGTGGTTGTATTTCTCTTTTAGTGCTACTGGTTACTTAGTGATGTGTTTTACACTATCGACCACAACATTCTTTTGTGTAGACTACAATTCGTAGCAGTGAATGAAGAGGTATCATATCGATCACAAGTACAGTATAGAGTACCACAAGGCTCAGTACTAGGACCGCTGCTTTTCACGCTGTACACGTTACACTTGGGAGATATCATCAGGAAACCTAGTGTTAGCTTTCACTGTTATGCTGATGATGCTCAGCTCTATATTCCTTCACGGCCCGACGAAACATACCAATTCGCAAAACTAAGGGAATGCATAGTTGATATAAAAAAACTGGATGACTAGTAATTCCCTACTGCTAAATTCTGAAAAAACAGAGGTTTTAATTACTGGACCAAAAACCTCTGCATGTAATATCCTAAAACACTGTCTAACACTTGATGGCTGCTCTGTCAATTTTCCATCATCAGTTAGGAACCTAGGTGTGCTATTTGATAGCAATCTTTCCTTTGAAA